GTTGGATAGCTTAAGTTCAACTGGTCCCAAAGTGCACGTGACTTCTTACTGCCTAAGCTTGCTGCCCAGCATTCCTACACACAGTGATGAACACCATGGCAGGAACCCAGGTGTTACCCTACGTGATCTTCTTCACCTCCTAGGTACCTGCAGTCTTAATCACCTGCCTGTTCATCTGTTAGATATCTCTTGGTACTAAACCTGCCTCTCCACCTGGGCCCACAGCGCCGTCAGCCAGCCAAGGCCAACTTCTGCCTCAACTGCTGCAACAGCATTTTTTTTTTTTTTTTTTGGACAGGCAAAGTGGACAGTGAGAGAGAGAGAGAGAGACAGAGAGAAAGGTCTTCCTTTTCCATTGGTTCACCCTCCAATGGCTGCTGCGACCAGTGTGCTGCGGCCAGCGTGCTGCGGCTGGCGCACCGCACTGAGCCGAAGCCAGGAGCCAGGAGCTTCTCTTGGTCTCCCATGCAGGTGCAGGGCCCAAGGACTTGGGCCATCCTCCACTGCACTCCCTGGCCACAGCAGAGAGCTGGCCTAGAAGAGGAGCAACCGGGACAGAATCCAGCGCCCCAACCAGGACTAGAATCTGGGGTGCTGGCGCTGCAGGCGGAGGATTAGCCTATTGAGCCAAGGTGCCGGCCAACAGCATTTCAGATAGAGGCCCACGGGAGGGGGACTCTCCATGGAAGCCTGAGGAACTGGGGTATTGTTCCCTCCAAAAGCTCAGACTAGGGGGCGGGAGCTGCGGCATAGTGGGTTAAGCCACAGTGTGCAAGGCGGGCATCCCCTATGGGTGGCTGGCTGAGTGGTGGCTGCTCCACTTCCTTCTAATCCCTGCTAATGTTCCTGGGGAAGCCCCTGCACCTATGTAGGGGACCCAGAAAAAACTGCTGGCTTCGGTTTGGCTCAGCATTACAGCCATTTGGGGACTGAAACAGCAGATGGAATACCTCTTTCTCTGTCTTTCCCCCTCTCTCTGTAACTCTGTCTTTCAAATAAAATAAATAAATCTTTAAAAACAAAAACAAAAACAAATTTAAAATATCCAAAAGTTTAGATTGGGCTTGCCTCTGAGTTCTTTGTCCATGAAAAGGAAAGATTGTTTTAAGACTGTTGTTTGGTTCTATTTAAAAATAAAATAATAATAATAATAATAATAATCCCAAATATATCTGTTTTACTTTCAAAGCTTACAAAGCACTTTCATACTCATGATACCATTTGACTCTTGGACAGCCTGGGGGGGGGGGGAGGTACCTGATACAATTACCTATTCTTCACCATATGAGAATTAAACTTTTGCTTGAGGTCACCTGCTTTGCAGCTGTAATTTAGACTCAAGCCCCTGACTGAATCTTTCCTTCTTTCTTTCCCTCCCTGCTGCTTCCTCCCTCTTTTATTTCTTGCTTTTCCTTTAAAGAGTCTCCCTCCCAAAGCATCTGAAGTCCATTTTTCTTTTCCTTTATACAGTAGATAGCCATGAGGTAATATTTCATATGTCTTGGGTTCCCTCTACGAAGATCAGTATTAAAAAATGACAGCGACTTATTATTTATGGCAATATCTATTGTTACTCAGGGAGACAGACCAAAGAATTCCCCATTGTTATAGATGTTACTTTGACTTGACAGCTGGGGAAGTCTGATAGGCAGTTTATTTACTTAGCCATTTAACCAAATAAATGTTTTCATCTTTCTTTCATCTCCTCCAAAGCTAACATTTCACCCTTAAAATTGCTCCAGCAACACATCAGTGAGGTACAAATTACCTGCCATTCCCACACTAGCCATTATAATATTATTTTGGTTCCTTTTTTGCCCATTGACCCACTCTCTCGAAGACATGTGATTCTCCCAGATGGAAGGATGCAGGGGGAAGTGAAATAATTGAAGATATTTTCCTTTATTGCTAAAACAGAAGTACGATTTGAGATTGGTCCTGAAGCTTCCACCTGTGGGGACTGAGTCCATCTGTTTCCCCTTCCTCTGGCGTGATATGGCTTTGACTTACAAACAGATGTCATTCCTGCTTACCTTGAACTGTGCTAGTATGTCTAATAAAAAAAATTGCAGGAGATAATGGTTGCAAGGGTGATAAGAAGTAAGGGACCATTGCCTTCCAACTCTATGAAAGCAGAGAGGAAATAAAGCCGTGGACATAGCTATTCCTGCATAGTATCCCTTTTCCAAATGTCTGGAAAGGCACAAAGAACTTGCCATCAGTGAATTTCCAGTTGGGTGGCTGGGTGAAGGGGATGGAGACAGAAAGATCAAACGTAGCTTGTGCCGCTGTTGAGGGAGGGACTGAGAAAAGCTCCCTTTAACTTCCTTGTGGGTATCACAGAATTTGTGTCTGTACAGCTAGCAGCAGCCCTTTGGCACGCATTCTTGATAGGGAACTGTGAAACATCCAGGCTGAGCTTTCAAAGGAAAGCAATCACTTCATGAGAGCTTACCGTGTAGGCCTCCTCTGATGTTGGGAGTACTTGCTAAGACTTACATGTGAATGTAAGATTGCTCATTTTTGGGGAAGAGGTGACCTCTAAGGCTGAATCTGTGAGGTCCTTCTGATTAGAGGGCAGTCAATCCAAGCCAAGAGCCAAGGACCAGCCATGTTTTTTTTGTGTGTGTGTTTCTCCCACAGCTATTTTGAGGCATATAAATACCATCGAAAGACAGAAAATACCCAGCAAAACCTCCCTGTCAGTGATTTTATTCAACGGGAGGACTAAATGTACACAATACAAGGTAGTGGAGAGCCAACCTTCACTGAGCACAAATGATACAAATGAGGCCGAGGGTTCTGCTGCTCGCTGTAGTGGTAAGGGTGAAGGTAGCAGTGGCAGTAGTGGCTGTCATGACAGTGGTGCTGCTGCTGATGGCAGTGGTGGTGTTGATACAGTGGTGAATATAATGATGGTGATAACATTTACTGGGTGCTTTATATGTGCCAGAGACGGTGCTGAAGGTGCCATATTCATCGCCTCATTTTGTCCACAGAATAACCCAATGAAGCCCACACTATTTTTATCTGTATTTTTTCAAGTGAAGAAAATAAGATTAGAAAGTGAGTATGAAATCTCGGTAGGATCACATAACCAGAATGTGGAGAAGCCAGATTTTGGACTCTGACAATATTACTGTAAAATTTAAGCTTAAAGTTGAGTGCTAAATGGCTGTCTCCAGATGCTGACATATGCTATTCCAAATAATACTATGGATAAGAAAAGCCCCTGCTAGCAAACACAGAAATCGAGACTCACAAGAAACTACAGTGCTTGCCCCAGGTTTTCCAATCTTAAGTAGCTGAGCTAGGATCTGAACTCAAGCTCCAAATCCTGAAGTCTTGCTACTGTATCATGCTATGCCCATTTACAACTCAGCCATGACTGGGGGTACTGCATAAAGCATCAAACGCAGAACAGAAACAAGCCCCGCAAAACAGCTCAGCTTGAGTGATTTTCTCAAGCTGAACAGGCTCAAAAAGATGAGGGTTTGATACATTGATTTACAAATGGTATAAGTCATCTTTGATTTTTAGAAGAACTTCAATTTGAAGATGATGTTTGCTGCTATCCTGATGAATGGTTCCTGTCACCTCTAGTTCATTCACCAAACTTTTCAAGAAAAGTTGAGCACATAAAATACAACATATGCAAGGGACAGAAAACCTTGTGGGGAACCATTCCAAGGCATCCGCCCATAATCCCCAACTACTCCCTCTCCTGCAGCATTGACTTTACCTATAATAGATTAGATCCCCAAAAAACTTTGCAAGACTGAATTTTTGAATGGGTATTATGTGGTTTTCCATGGTATGATGTATCATTATGTGCTGTTGTACTGACATAAAATGTGGCCAAATATGCAGTATGCTAAGTTTTTTTAATCATAAAATCCATTAACAAAATGCGCTTCCCAAACACTGTGTCAGCTTTCAATAAGTGTCACAGTGACTTACACTGAGAATCCATTTATGAGCAGTGAAAACTGTTTTCCATTTTAAGGGTTCTGGCCATGCTGCTGGGGAGTGAAAAAAGGAGCTCTCTGGGGATGGCTTTGCAGTCCTCTATGTTTATGGAAAACTAGAAAAGTATCTGAAAATTGAACGCATTTGTCAAGGAGTGACCTTAGAAATCATGTGTAGGTAACAAGGTGTACTTCTGTCTCCTGAGAAGCTTTGCTTCATCAGCTCCTCTTTCTTGCGATCAAATCAGATGTACTGAAATTCAAGTGCCAAAAGCCACTTCTAGTAAATGTAAGGACACCTCTCTCCGAGTAGCTGCTGATGGAATCTGAAGTGACTCCGTGCAATCCACACGCAGTAGCACAGGTGCAGACGGCAGAGCCGACAAGTGAACGCTCCACATCTTTGGGCTTTGAATTTCACTTTCACGTGAGAAAGAGTGCAGGCCCTTTCTGGCTACACAAAAGGGTTACTCGGATCTTACATTTCGATCAATCTTATTTCAAGCACTGCTTGTTTTGCTTCGTAGTCTGGCTTCTCAGTGTGTTTGATTGGTGACCCCTTTAGATCTGCGGAGTGCAGGCAAACGCAGTGACATTTTGCTTAAAAGAGTAAAGCACATGCCACTGAGAAATTATCAGAGTGGGCAGAATGTTGATGATTTCAGAAACCAAAGCTGCAGTAAGCAGTACTGGCCGTGCCTCATTCTATCACTACCACTCACTCAGAACATATCATTAATAAAATAATAGGACCATTTCAGTTCTACCCTTTATCCCCACCTCCCGGTAGAAGTCAAAGGCCATGCATCCACGAGGAAACACAAAGTGCAAAGCAGACACCAAGCAGGGAAAGGTGGTACAAACACTGGTAACACAGCTCAGGCAGAGAGAGGTGGTGTGAGCATTAGGATACAGCTCCAGCAAGGAGGCAGACAACATGAACTTCGGGAATGCGACTTCAGAAGTGAAGAACTAGAGACAGGGAAGGCAGCTAGCTTAAGGGTGGAGGAGATAGAAAGGATAGGTACCTACCCAGACCCGCGCTTTCTAGCTACCGGCCTGTGGACTTAGAGTGTCGCCACTGGGCTCAGCACTGGGTTCCCCAAATGGATCGCTGCTGGATGAGGCCTGTGACCCATCAGGCTAGAACACAAAAAAGATAAGACTTTGCTGTTTTCTCTTTCCAACAGCTGCAAATATAAGACAACTTGGAATATTTCCATGCAGTACATACAGTTAGTGATTTTAAAGAAGGGAGCAATTTCAGCTCGAGGATGTCCCCTACCCTCATAAGAACTTGTAGTCACAGCTTCATAAAAGGACAGTGCTTTTTGCCGACTCATATGAACATAAAAGAAAGCCCCTGAGCAGCCCTTTAAGAAATGTGGAGTCTGAGTCAGCATTCTTTGCTATATAGGCTTCTGCATACATCATCGTCAGTCTCTCCCCAAGGAAGTTTTAATTGGAAGGAAAAACGAAACCAGACAATAACCAAGTGGTGACTTACAGCTTCTTGCTCTTCACTTTTGCTGGGACTTTCAAAGCCCTCTTCAAAGATGTCATCGGTGGTAGGATCACTGGCGTGGGATGCAGATGATTTGGATGGAGAGCTCTGTCTAGGGGCAGGGGTTGGAGCTACACAGAGACCACAAAACAAGAAGAAATGCTGTGAGTGCCTGGCTGCAACCATTTATTGCCCAGGGATCTACTTATATTCAAGTCAACCCCTGCACTCGTCTTCCCATGCCAACCTTAATCAGCTGAACGTCTGAGTTTCCCCTAGGTACGTATTTATCTTGGGCTCCCACACACTCGATGGTAAGGAAGGAGCAGATCCACACTGATGGGTAAGGCAGTAGTTCTCAAGGGATGGTCCCTGGGCCAAAGCATGTGAGCATCATCTGGGAATTTGTTAGAGATGAAAATTCTTGGTCCCTATGACTCATTTACCGAATCAGAAGCTCTGTGTTTTAAGAACCCACCATGCATACTGAAGCTGAGAACTATGGGGCATTGGCTTGCATTCTTTGACGAGTTAGCCATGTTAGAAGTTTTATGGACAGTATCTTTAATTCCCATAAACCCTCTCTGAGGTAGAGGTTATCTCAGTTCTACAGATCAGGAAAGGGAAAGTTGCTACTTTGCTCATGGCAACTGGTAAAACCACATTTTGAATTCTGGCACATAGTAGGTACTGAATAAACAAGGACTCAGTACTCTGGGGAGATGGCTGTGGCTGATGGCAACTTGAGTCTATAAGGATCTGCATTTGCTGTGCCGACCTTCCTGCATGTCCCTTCTCTCATTTGTTCCAGAGCCTTATAACAGACCTGCCATTTCAAAGCACTCTTCTTCCAGAAATTTCTAATTTGGCACAGAAAATACCAGTCACTGGCTCAGTCCCAAGTGAGGAGGAGGCATGGCTTGACTTAGTAGCTGCATTTCAAAAGGCATGGAGAGGGCCTCCCCATTATCACATTCCTGAACTTGGAAAATCTGGCACTTTATGAAACAGTGAATGACTGCAAAACCTAGTGTGTACCTTTTGCCCTGGTGAACCTGTATGAAGGGTGGGAATGCTACTTCCTCATGTTTTATTTATAAGGTGTCATTGACTCAGACACTGCTAGGGACTTCCTGTTCATTATTCTCCCTAATATAAACAACTTCTAGGTGTCACTGAACTTGTTTTTTTTCCAGATGGAAAAAAAAAAAACACCACAGTTTAGATTAGTGAGCTGATTTCTCAGGGTTAACACAGCAATGAAACAGCAGCCTTGGGTTTCAAGACTGTCTGACATTGGTACAATTGTGTGTTGGACTCTTGCTATTTGAGGCTCACTTACGTTCTAACCACTCAAAATATTCTTTAGAGGGTATTGATGAGTACGAGACTATAAAAACTAGTTTTACTAATTTTCTTTAAAATAATACACTTGGCATTTTTTAATTTGAAAGGAACTCTGTTTTATTTTGGTTATATCTAACAAACTAGTTATAGTGGGTTTAAAGCTAACTAAAAACACCCTGATGGACAGCAGATGTTTAATAAACATTAGCTTAGTGGGATTCTAAATAGTGTTTGAAGTGGTTTATTGTTTACTAGCGGATGGGAACCCAGGCTGAGCTGCCAGTTCTAACAAGTGTACTGCTCATACGTAAGCAAGTAAATCAACGGGGAGCATAAGCAGGAGTTTATTGACACATGTGTCTTAACCCTTAGAAGGTTTTACAGAATACTTGTGTACTCTAAAACAGCACTTCTCACTTTGGGGTGATTTCATCCTCGGGACATCTGGCCATACCTGGAACCGTTTTTGACTGTCACAACTGGAGGGAAGGTATGCTACCTGCATTTAGTATGTAGAGTTCAGGGTTGCTGCTAAACACCTAGAATGTACCAGAAGGTTGCCCATAGCACATAGTTTTCTAGCCCAAAATGTCAATAATGCCAAGGATGCAAAATTTTGCTCTGCAGTAAGAGTAGCTGAATGGCCTTACTTTGTTCATTTAGTTCTCTACAACCTTGCCCAAATGCCTCCAACAGGCTATGCACTCTGAGAGAATTATAGGAAGTGTAGGAATGTTGAAGACATATTCCCTGTCCTCAAAGAACTTAAATTTCTTTCACTTGTAGCAGACACACAAGTCCACTGACAGAGCAAGCTTTGTTTTTAAAAGGTGCTTGCTTACTTATACAGGGCTTTCTTTAGCACTTCATTTTGTATTCATTATTCTTCACTGAAGCTCGTTGAGTTTGAGTACATGGATCACTGTGTAGATCATACGGCCTGAGTGTACTCTGAAGGCATTCATTTTCAGAATAGCATGTGAACCTGGCTGGAATGACATAACCTAATTGCATTAACATTAGATTGTTTTTTGACAATTCACTGTGTTGGCCATGCAGTGATCCATATCACCTGTGACAGTAATGAAAATGCCAAATGCATTGTACCATGAGCCTTTTCTTTTCCCTTTTCTATAGTCAAGGTGCAGACTGGGTCACAGATCACCTTCCCCAAACTGTGTTGAATAAGCATACTTGTGCTCAAGAGTGTCTGGATCCTGACTTGGCTGCATGGTTACTGCTTTTCAGATGTTTGCAGCAGTAAAGTGAATTGGGGTAGAATCACTGACTGCAAGAACTAGAAGGAGGCACACTGCTCGTGCAATTCAATTCACTTATTTTACCAATGTCACACACGGAGTCTCAGGGAAGTCACATGACGGCCCAAGGACACAGCTTATAATGGAGGAGCCAACAGTAGAACCCTGGGCCTGGACTCTGCACAAAATCACTGAATGTTGGTAACACTGATGCTGGTAGTACTTCAAATGTCATTAGCCTGATAATGTTTTGCCACATGTACTACTGAATCCTTTTAGTACTCCATAGCCTTGGACACATGAGAAACCGCCACCTACAGAAATAAAATGACCCACCCCACAGTACAAATCTGCTCAGGAATAAAGGTAGTCCCCAGGTTCTTAGTCCAGCACTTTCTGTGCAGTCACTTTTTTCTGTTTGACTACTAGAAGCTCTGAGACAAAATCTGGACTCACCCCTAATAATGGTACAAGCTCTAAGGCTGCTGCAACTCTGCACTAAGTTTCCTCCTGATGTTAATTTTCTAATCTAATTTTTAAATTTGATCCCTAAAAATACAGATTTTCACATTCATTATTCATTTTTATATCAGTTAAAACCTGTGTATCATAAGCTTGAATACACATAAATGAATGAACGAATGAGAAAACCAACAAAATCCTAAGAGGCAGAATGACACAGTGGAAACATACTAGGCTTATAGTCAATTGAAGCTGTCTGGTCTCTCTGTCTTTGAACCTTACTTTCATTATCTGTCAAACAGGTTTAACAGAACCTGTCATAAGTATTGATAAAAGTCTTAAAACAGACACAGGGCATGTAGAGAATGTGTATCCCATTATGCCTTCGGTGGCACCCAAACTGGTAACTATTATTACTAGTAGCAATCTCAACAGACAAGATGGACAAAACTTAGACGTGTCTTCCGATGGTCAGAAACCTACAGCACCACTCACTGCTCCTGTGTCTTTTTGTACTTGTATACTTTGATCTCTTTTTTTACCTTTCCCTTTCTCCACCTAAAGACACTAACAAACCAAGATGAATTCTGATACAAGCAGCTGTCACTTTATCAACGGAGTAAATCCTGTGTCTTAAGTGAGGGGCACTCACGTGAGTTGGTCGATGGCGTGGTAGAAGTCACGGGGGTCAAATTCAACTGGGAGATGTCAAAGTCATCACAGTCGTCTGTATCCTGCGCCACCCCGACTTTGTTGAAGTAACTGGAGAAGGCCTCTGAGGTACAGGTGAGGGAGGGCTGGTCGGGTTTGCGGGAGGGCACGGGCGGAGGCTGAACCATCTGGAAATCCTTGAACATTTCCTTCCCCATTTTCTGCCTGGGCTTGTCGGTCTGTGGACTGGACCTGGTGGAGTCACTCGTGCCTGGGACGGTGGCGAGGGGGGTGAGGGGACCTTGGAACATGGCAGCTGGCAAAGGCATAACAGTTTGTGTGGGCATGAAGGCGGCTGGCGGAAACTGCCCGGCCACAGCGGGCCAGGGCTGCTGGGTGGCAGGAAAGAGACCCGGCTGGCCCCATGCGATGGGCTGAGCCCCCGGCATCACCTGAGCGACTGGTGGCTGAGCACCCATGGCGAGCTGCTGCTGCACGAGGGGCTGTTGGCCCCAGAACGAGGGGAGGACGGCGCCCATTGCCACATAACCTGGAAGGGTGGGAAGGGAGAGAAAGCAGAATGCATACATTCAATGATTGACAGAGACATACTGAGCAGCTACCAAGTACCAGGTATCCTAGGGACTGGGGTGCCAAGAACAGGAAGAGAGAAGTTCATGAAGGCTAACCTAGAGAAGTCCAGAGGGGACCCAGCTCCTAGGAGACGATTCATCAGCAGAAACTCGAACACACTGAGGGAGCAAGCTGGGTACATATCTGGGGCATTATAATAGCATTTCCTCAGTTGTTAAAGGTTTCTGAAATCTGCCAGCCCACGAGTCTCAGTAGAAAGAGAGAGGACAGTTCACAGGCATGCCTGGGTTATTCTCTTGCTGCTCCTCCTTGCTAGAGCTAGGATTCTCTCCATTGCTTCACCTAAGAGTCAGTCTCTTTGCTGTAAACGCAGGTGTGCATACTTTCTACTGAGCACTGAGGCACTGTGCAAAGTGATTAAGAACCCAAGTGTAGGAGTTATGAAGGCCTAGGTTAAAACTCAGGCTGCCACCCCTAATCTCTCTAATTGCCACTCTTAGGTTCTATGTCTTTATCTGTCAAATGGGCACACAATATCTTCTGTCCCACTGGGTTGAACATTGAGATTACAAATTTATTTCATTCATGACCATTCAGCAAATGTTAGCTTTGGGGCTGGCGCTGCTGTATAGAGGGTAAAGCTGTCACCTGCAGTGCTGGCATCCCATATGGGCAATGGTTCGAGTCCTGGCTGCTCCACTTTTGATCTAGCTCTCTGCTATGGCCTGGGAAAGCAGTAGAAGATGGCTCAAGTCCTTGGGCCCCTGCACCCACTTGGGAGACCCGGAAGAAGCTCCTGGCCCCTGGCTTCAGATAGACGCAGCTCTGGCCATTGTGGCCAATTGGGGAGTGAACCAGCGAATGACAGACCTCTCTCTCTCTCTTTCTGCCTCTCCTCTATGTAACTCTGACTTTTAATTAAAATAAATAATTCTTATAAAAAATGATAGCTTTGATTAGGTATGATTTGAATCAGGCTAAGCCTACAAAGTACTTAATATCTTGCTTGAATACAGTGAGAGGCTTTATATGCGATTTCTGTGTTATTATGTTAATTTTAGAGAATAAAATAATGAAGGTTGTTACCTAGCCAGGGGCATCACATATAGTGGTAGTTACAGGTTGGGAAATGTAAAACTTCAAGACCTGTACTTGCAAATTTTTCATGGTGATTGTATGCTGTACTATTTTTTCCAGTGAGATTTGTACATTTTAGCAGAAGCACAAGTACCACTTTTACAAGAATAATAGTAATGGTGTTAACTTCCACTTGTTAAGTGCCTATCATATGCCAGGTACACTATTAGGTGTTTTGTACATTCACAAAATCCCAGCAGGTTAGCTACATTATCTTTGCTTTAAGAATAAAGATATTGATGCCTAGAGAGGAAAAGCAACATGCTTACAATAACTTAGGTGGCATGAGGTAGGATCAGGATCTAAACTGAGGTGGCCTGATCCTGAAGACAGTGTTCTTTCTCTGCCATGCTGCTAACTCAGATGGCCAAGGTCATGTCTGATTTTTGCCAGTCAATGGACCTTGTCTACCACTGACTTGTTTTGCACATTGCAGGCCTGTAGGATATTCACATGCTTCCAATGGTCCCCACCCTTCTCAGACAGCACAAAGGCCACCTACACACGTGCAATTGACATGTAACCATGTTACATGTCATGTTACATGGTTACATGGGGGACATGTAACCAGGCCAGGTAGAGGATCTAGAAGCCAGCTTTGCCTGACCTCTTGAAACAAGTGTTTTCCTGATTGTTAGGAGGATTTGTAGGTGCAGTGTGGTGAGATCAGGACAAAGGAAGCAGTGGATACAGATATCCCAGCAACTTCCAAAGGGATAAAGGGGTAGGTGCCATGGCAACTACCACATCCTGGATCATGTCAATGACTCTGATGAGCCCAAACACTTGTGTACAGGCTCCAGTCTGAAAGCCACCAGCCCTTCAATGGACTGATAATGGATACAGCCAATATTCAAGGCCTAGCCATTTCCCTGCCAGGTGTCCATTTTGCCCCTTATGCCACAACATCCCTGAGAAGAGGCTGCAGAGGCGCAAAGAGAGGATACACAGGCTTTTTGGTAACTGACCTAGCAGTGTTAGATGCTTCACAGGATTCAACAAACACAACTGAGAGTACCCTTGTAAGATGAGTTCGTCCAGACGCACTGAAGCAAGGGTGACAAGCAGTGGCAAAGACCTCTCAAGCTTGGAAGTTGCTTACACTGCTTTGCCTATCACATACTAATGCAGTGACGTGAATCTCTCAGCAGAAAAAGAACTGTGCAACCCTTTATTTTATTCTGATTTGCTTTGCTTTGGCTCATTGGTTCTCAGCGGGAGTGCTACTGACCCTAGGGGTGATAAGTGAGTCTGTGGCTTGTGTCTTGGTTTCCATAATTGCAGGGGGTTGCACTACTGGCTTTTAGGGGGCTCAGAGCATTGTTAGTGGATACCTGTGATGTGTGAGAACATCGTGCACAACAGAGAACCACTCTACAAACTTTCAATGAGTACTGGGGCCTAGAATTTACTTTGAATTACAAGGACACTTGGTTTCTTTACCAAGCTTTGGTGTACTTTGTTTACCAACTTTTGGTGTACTTAATTTTCCAGGAGTATGACAACTGCGTACATGGAGGAAAGTCTGTGTTTTGTTTTGTCTGGAATACAGTCAAGAGTTGCCCACCATTTTGGAAAGTGGTGGTCTCTGACAGAAACACTTCTCATGACGGCCAAACCAATGGAACACTCCCATATCAGCCTCTGCTTGTAGTTGTGGCTTTCAATGGTGATTCTCTCTGTAGGGGTAAGCACCAGACTACTTCGTTTTTCTCATGTGTTCATGTCTGAGAATTTCTTTATTGAAAATATGTTTTTAATTATGAATTAGCTTTCTTTTCTATTTACCTTATGTTCCAGTAAAGACATTACATTGGTTTTAAAAACTGTGTTGGCAGGTGAAATCATCTATGATTTCATTTGCAGACACCAGAGGACACACTGCAGATATTCATTATGAAATGGGGTGCTGGTCTGACAGGTGGAGACTTATCTATGTATCTTCCAGCCACCCCAGGCTTGATGCCCATTTTGGCAAATGGGCAGAAGGCTTCCGTCTCCAGCTGCCTCCTTTTTGCTTGGCTTCCATTCCACCCGCCTCACTGCCAAGGAGGATGTTCTAAAATGCAAATATGGCACACCATTATTCTGAGCATAAGGCTCAGACGCCTTCACTTGGCTTACAAGCCCTTGGGGGTCAGCCCCCTTGGCCCTCGCATCACCATCCTCAATTAGTGCCCTCACTGGCACCTTCCCTTCTGCAGCTAGCAAGCAACCTAGTGTCTCTTGTCTCCAAAGGTCTGTCTGCCTGGCAGGCCCTACCCCTTATCTGTTCTTTGACACTCAAAGGCTTTCTGCTGAAAGCCTTCCCTGCCCTCTGGGCTCAGCTGGTCCATCTCCGGCACTGTCCCCTGTGATCACCTCCTTCACGTCACCCATCACATGATGTTGTAATTACCCGGTCATTCTGTCTTCTCTAGAAAGTAACTGCTCATTCTTCTCTCTGTACCTGTCGGTTGTGGACACACATTAGGAGCTCCAAGAATATTTGAGATTAGAAGCCCCACAGAAGGGTGGGCGAGCCATGGCGGAACTGGTGCCTCTACCACATTGTTCCAAGTGGACAGCTGAACTCCAGCATCCATGTGTTGTGATCTCTGATAATTCTGTTGGTGGCAGGCTTTTCCCCCCTCCCCTCTTTTTTTTCTGTTCTTCACAAGGAACTAACAGATGGGCTGTGCATACTTTTCTGGAGAGAGCTATTAGCACAACTCTCTGGCTTCCTGCCATCTGCTCCAGACCAGAGTACAATATTCAAAAGCAGAGGGTAATTGGGTATCGTGTTTGGGAGCTTGCAGGCCTCATTCACTTTTCCTGGGGGGTCCTTGCAGCCTGGGCTCTCTCCATGCCTGTGTGCCAAGAACCTTTGGCCACATGGCATAGTGCACAGCTGGTGGGACACCTCAGCAGCAGGACTGTGGTGGCCCTGGACCGGGGGAGCCCCTTGGTGGCTGCCACTGCAGCCACTTAACAAGGGTGTTAACGGTTTACTTGCTAATGTGGAAAAGCACTGGGAGGGGGTGCCAAGGAGCATGTGCTTATGCCATGAGTTGAGATCAATCAGAAATTTCCTTGCTGGGAAGTGAAAGGCAACACCTGCCTTACTGCCTTGCAATTAGATTTCTAAAAGGTGTTGAAAATTACAGTTTATAGCCAGATGTGCACACCTGGGGATACCTCATTATTTGAAACAAGGAGAGGGGGAACCAGACTAAAATAACATAAGAAGACAGAAAATGGAGAGATCCCTCCAACATTTATATAGAACTTACAGGATCCCTCCTACGTACATTATTTAATTTTACTCATTCACTCACGCACTCATTCATTCAAAAATATCACTACTGGGTGCCAGTCACTGTTTCAGTCTCTAGAAATGCAGTGAAAAATGGAGCAGTTAAATAATGTTCTGGGGCCGGAACATAGTGGGTAAAAGCTACTGCCTGCAGTGCCAGCATCCCATATGGGTGTCAGTTCGGGCCCCAGCTGTGCCTCTTCTGATCCAGCTCTCTGCTATGGCCTGGGAAAGCAAGTATAAGATGGCCCAATTGTCTGGGCCCCTGGACCTGTGGGAAACCTCGAGGAAACTCCTGGCTCCTAGCTTTGGATCAGCTTAGCTCTGGCCACTGTGGCCATTTGGGGATGAACCATTGGACAGAGGACCTCTCTCTCTCTCTGACTCTGCATCTTGGTAGCTCTGCCTTTGAAATAAATAAATATTTTTAAAAAGGCTGAGAACTTGAACTTTAATATTTACACTTAAATGACTGCATTCCAAGAAGGTCAATAAAAACATATGGGTAGGACAAGATATTTTCTTCTACTGTACATGCCAGAGTAGTAACAAAAATGAAACTTTTGGGGCTGGCGCTGTGGCATAGTGGGTAAAGCCACTGCCTGTAGTGCCGGCATCCCATATGGGCGCGGGTTCGAGTCCTGGCTGCTCTACTTCCTATCCAGCTCTCTGCTGTGGCCTGTGAAAGCAGTAGAGGATGGCCCAAGCCCTTGGGTTCCTACACCCACGTGGGAGACCCGGAAGAAGCTCCTGGCTCCTGGCTTCGGGTCAGCGCAGCTCTGACCATTGCAGCCATCTAGGGAGTGAACTAGGGATGGAAGACCTCTCTCTCTCTCTCTGCCTCTCCTTCTCTGTGTAACTCTGACTTTCAAGTAAAATAAATAACTCTTTAAAAAAATGAAATTTTACAACAATTATCTAAAATATGCCAACATTTTTAAGGTGCTTAATTTTATTTTCTTTTTTAATTCCCCTGATATTGTTTCAAGGTATGTGTACTTTTTCCCTCACCAAGTTATAAAGATAAAGAAGCTCTGACTCTGACGGCTGAAATAAAATAATTTGCCCAGGAGTCTAAAACATTAAAAAAAAAAAAAAACAGAGCTAGTATTCAGATTTGGCCCATCATGTTCAAAAGCCCCCAGCAGGAAACCAACCACTGCATAGGGGTAACTAAGTCCACTCCTGTCTCTGAATCACCTAGTGACAAGTAGACAGGCATTCAACAGCCACAGAGATGGTGGAGGCCAGTTTAGAGAGGAACACCCTAGATTGATGAACACTGAAGCATACTTTAAATATATTTCAAGTGGGGAAAGAAAGCAAAAATATGCTAATTGAAGTTAATTTTAGACCCACGTTCTAACATTGAAACCTTGCAGGTAATATACCGATTGTTTCAACAGTGGAAGGAACCAGATCTGGAAGCAGCTTATTCTCCTTGCAACAGTTCTGGTTGAGCATTAAGATTAAAATCCAGGTATTCAAAGCCCCTAATCTGGCACAGGTAGGGAGAAGGCCCTGAATGGTATTGTGTCCAACAGGAAAGGTCCTGTTGGTGTTTTTAATAAAATTCTAGGGCCAGAAGAGCTATGGTATTACATCCCAGTGTCATCTTCTCACCTAAAGCAAAGGGAATGAGACTAGGAAGTCTCAAAGTGTTCCGTTAACCATTAACTCTAAAACCCGCTCTAAGACATTAACTCTAATACCTATTTGAGATCTGCCTTAGACCTTGCACTCTGCTTACATCTCACCTGTGCAAGAGCCCCTTCTGACCACAGTCCTCTCACACCTGCTCACTTTTGGGATTCTAAATCCCCCATACCCTGCTTGATGCTTTCATTTCTCCATATCACTTATTTTCTAACATACTACACAAATTGTTTATGCATGTTACTACCCATCTCCCCAACAGGAAGGAAGTGCTCTCTCTTGGTTTCTTTTTTCTCTCTCTCTTTTTAAAGATTTATTTATTTATTTGAAAGGCAGAGTTACACAGAGAGAGGAGAGGCAGAGAGAGAGAGAGGTCTTCCATCTGATGGTTTACTCCCCAATTGGCTACAATGGCCGGAGCTGTGCCGATCCGAAGCCAGGAGCCAGTAGCTTCCTCTGGGTCTCCCATGTGGGTGCAGGGGCCCAAGGACTCGGGCCTTCTTCTACTTCTTTCCCAGGCCATAGCAGAGAGCTGGATCGGAAGTGGAGCAGCTGGGTCTTGAACCTGCATCCATATGTGATGCCGGCACTTCCGCCCAGGGCATTAACCCGCTGCGCCACAGCCGGCCCCTCTCTCTCTCTTAAAAATAAAACAACGGGGACAAAGCATAGATATTCTGAACACAAAACAAAACACAGGAGAGTGGTGCATTCTGTTGGAAAACTTTAATCATATTTCCAATAGCGTTATATTATAATATTGCCAAAGAGATTTTTTTTAAAAAATCTCTCTTCTTCTATCTCTCTGTCTCTATCTCTCTCTCTATCTTCATCTCTCTCTCTCTCTCTCATACACACACACACACACACACACACAAAACACAGAGTTTCCATCTGTTGGTTCACTCCCCAGATGCAGGTCTCAGCCAGGTAAAAGTTGGGAGAAAGAAACTCAATCCAGGTCTCCCATGTGGGTGGTGAGGACCCAACTATTTGACCTATCACCTGCTGCCTCTCAGATGTACATTAGGAAGAACTGGAGTTGGGAGAAGAGCCTGGAGTGGAGCCCAGGTATCCTAATATGAAATGTGGGCATCCCTACTGGTGCCTTCACTGCCAGCTCAAATACCTGACCCCCAAGGACAGTCTAATATCCATCTTAGGTAAGGAAAATTAGTCATTGCCACTGTCCCATTTTAGGGATGAGTAAATGAAATTTTACTAGGAAATCCAGTAATTCAATACATTTCTACATTACCTGCAGATTTGAAACGATTAGATCCAGTGGCTACCAACCTCTATTGTTTCTAAGAGCTCACAACGATTGCCTGCTTATGATAAATAACTGTATTTCAGAACAGGGTATGAATTTTTAATTTACTTTGAATAAAAACAAGGTTTATATTTGGTGGTAAGAATCGTCTTCTAACACCAAGTAATTAAAAGTCATTATTTATAGAAAAAAACATAAGATGATTTGTATTCTGAAATACTCAAACTCTCATATGCCATTTATAAAAAAAAAAAAAGGAGAGAGAAAGATAAAGCCACAGATTTCAAGTATGTAGTTAAAGGAAAACACAGAAATTTGTTAGTCTCCCATGCATGCAAAGAACAAGATTAATACCATCTTTGGCCAATTCCAAGTACAGTGTCTTGGCTCCACAGTACCAGATGACATGGGAACAAAGATCCCTGTGGTCCTACCTGCAATACTGTTAGTACACAGACTTTTCCCTTCTGTAAAAGTAGTACATATATTTTGAAGAATATTTGGAAAGCAGAACAAATCTTTTCTGAATCACTGATACCGATCACTCCTCTTTGCCCCGATTCACTGTCAGCAGTTTGCTTTCATCCCATAGGATCCCCGCAACCCCATAGGGTCCCCACAGCCCCTTTGTGGGAGACCTGGCCCTTCCTTGAATCAGTGCCAAATAAGACGGATTGTTCCTATCCATTTGGTCTCAAGAGGTCTGTGGACACCTGGCTCTCCTGCTCACCACCTACTCTCCTCTGGCAGAGGTGCATGGAAAGAAAGGACCTGGACTGTTTACAAAGCTCTGTGGACACCATGCTCACCAAACTGTACACCTGTGTACCTGGAGTCTTGGCCATTCCAGGCAAGGTGTCACCTGATTCCAGCCAACCATGTATCAGAGCTTTGAACCTCACCTCCATCACCCACCTGAATGGCAGCTTCTCAGTGTCATCTAAGAGTTGCAGGAGAGAATGGTGGCTCCATAGGAGTTTTGGCATAATCTGGTGGCTGGCTCAGTCAACCCTTTCTCTCTCTTGGTGAGCAGAAGCCAAAGAAGGGAAGTGGGTGAAAAGGGCTTACCTGAGGGTACAGCAGCAGTGCCGAAAGGTACAGAACCAAACACGTCTGCACTCGCCGGAAGTGTCTGAGATGAAGATGGGATAAAGGCATCACCTGGAGTTGCAGGAGTCTGCAGAGAGACAGAGCCCAGGGATGTGTGAGACCTGGCTCAGCACTCACCAAGGACAGAGCAGCAGGTGCAGAGATTAGGAGGTGGGGGATGTATAAGTGAACCAAGGTCCAGGCCCCTTCTTTGTCATGCAGACTCTGGTTTGGCACGTAGATTTTACCAATGGCCTGGGAAAAATGATACCTTAAGAGCTGTTGGAAGGAGTAAATGAGACTGTGCATCTGAAGCATTCCTATTCCATATCATTTAAATTATTTAGCACCATGCATAGGCATACAGTAGATGCTACAAACCATGATCAGTATCATGATTTAGTTTGAATCTCTGTCCCTTGGAGGGTATTTTTAGGGCATAAAATTATTCCACACTTGGCTTTCACGGTTTAGAGGGAGTGCTTTAAAACTCAAGTATGCCCACTCAAGACCCACTGCGTGCGATGCTCAGGACTTGTCACTTCACACATGGTCAAGAACAGTTGTCAACTCAATGAACAAATAAGGGTTAACAAATAGAGCACTGCCCCTTCATCATGCTGCCTCCAGGAATTTACTTGAATTTGCACTTGGAAAAAACAGTAAATATTTTCAAGAAGACCATAAGGTAACAATGCCTGCACAGCTGGTTAGCCTGTACTAGCATCCCAGAAAGATCTGCACCATCAGGTAGGTAAGGGGGAAAGTATTGGAATGAAATCATCAGAATTCATCTTTTTAAATGCTCATACCCATATACAACAGGCTTTTGCTTATAGACTATAAGTCTGTTTGATGCAAGCAATTAATCCTGAAACCATGGCAATTAGACAAGGCCATTTTTAGACTAGCAGATTGTGGCGCGACTAGCATTGTGTAAGGATTAAGTACCCATTTGGACTGTGCTTGGGTTCAGGGCCAGAAACGAAGTCATGAGCTGCTGTTCTTTTAAACACATCCAGTGCTATTCTCTTTTCCCCTGCGTGACCTTGGGCAAGTCACATGTGCTCTGTGACACAGTTTGCTCATCTGTAAAAGGAAGGGGCTATGTTGCAAGATCCTTTCAGACTTTCCTCGCTTCAGAGCCTCACAGTTCTGTAATCGCGAGTGCCCAGGATGAAGCTGTTAGTCCACGGACGAAGGAGAAAATGAGCTGTCCAGCTTCCCTGGGGACAGGAACTGTGGCTCCTCCCCTAGTGGCTGCTCTGGACATCAGGTGTTGGGAGCAGGACAGCTGTGCCTAGATTCCCTGGTGGCAGCTGTGGGCAGCAGTGTCTGGTGCCATCTGTCTGCAGTGGTGGGTCATGGCCTCTTCTCCGTGATGTGCATCTCTCCAGTGAACCGTAGCACCATTCCCCAGTTTGCACTACTGTTCAGTGCCCAGAGGAGCTGTCCCTACCCAGCAGCTTCAACAGGCACAGCTGTGGCTGACTGCGCCCTGCCTTCCCCTGGGGAAACGGTATGAGAGGGGCCAGTTCCCCTGGCCACTGGGTTGCTTTTGAAAGCATCCAGCACTCGGATTGGATTTTTTGCTTTGCTTTGGATTTTTCTTTTCACTTTCAAACGAGGGCTCCCTGTACTCTGGGTCGACCTGCAGGCACTGACTGAGAGGGCCTGGCTGGAGCTGTGGCTGGGAATCCAGAGCCCCCTGGGAAGCTCAGTAAGTTCCAGGTCCTGGTCTGCCAAGAACAAGGCAGGGAGGAGGGGAAGTGGAAGCAAAAAGGAGGAAGAGGGGGAAGGAAAGAGGGCAAGGAGAGAGGAGAGGTCAGAACAGGAGAAGGGCAGAGTCGCTTCCTGCACTGGGCTGACCTCTATACTTTGCCCGGCTCATGGGAGGTGCTGACACATGCCCCGTCACCATTCATGTCCTCTGGAATTTCTTGTCCTCCATCCCGACTAGATCATGAGTTCCTCCTAGGCAGGAAGCACATCTGTTCATGTCTCTCTTCCCAGTGGCTATGTCTTGGAATTGGGATAGGCTCATTTATTTCTCAAAACAGAGACATAGCTCACAATTCAAGGTCCAGGATAGCTAGTGAACTTGCCCAAGTCACACAACTAGAAGGAGCTGCAGCTCTCAGCAGCCTTTCTCCCAGAGCCTACTGTCATGCCCCTGAGCCACCAAGGAAAGAAAAGGCAGGAAGGAATGCAGGGCTCCGAGGGTGGTGCATACTTACGGGGGGAGAGGTTATATCAGGAGGGGTGGACATGTCCCCAAAAAGTTCTAATTGGGTCACAGCCTGAAAAGACAGAAAGACAACCACGTAACCACGAGGGACACTGATGCTCCTGGGAATTGCTTTAACAACAGGACAACATTTCCTTTGCATCATGACCCTATGAGTGGTTAAGTCCAGTTAGTCATTCCCAAACCTCACGATTTCAAAGGCAACATCTCAGATGTATCCAGGTTCGATTTGTGTTTCAGAATGTCTGGCTGTTTATCCAGGCTTGGTCAAGACTGCCCATCAGCAACATCCCATAAGAAAAAGTAACGCCTTGCATAGCTCTTTACTGCCAAATACCAGCACAGGGAGGAAGGCAAACCCATTATCGGTGTTCTGCTGTCACGAGTGTATTCACACATATGAGGTGCCTTCTGTGTGTGAATACAGCAAAGCTTGACTTCATGCTCGCTTCTCAGCAAGTGCATCCAATAACACTAATCTTGGGAAGTAAGAATCACCCCCATTTTTGCAGCTGAGTAACTTGAATCTAATGGAGGTGGTATCAAGGTCACCTAGGCCAGGATTCAAATTTTCTGTATACAGAGCATGTAGTCAAATATGTAGCCCCTTAAAGAGTTCATGTTAGAATTAAAAAAAAAAAAGTGTAGTTGGAGGAAAAGAAAACATTTCATTTAATACCAGGAAGGGCATCAAAATGAGCCCAAAAAATACATGATCAATCACTCCCAGGAACTCCATCCCTGCAGCCACTTTATCATCCATCCTCCCATCCATCACACAAGGGTGTCTGAGCAAGGCCAGCCACAGAAGTGGAAGAAGCCCTTTCAAACAGACTTAGAAATTAATCTGCATGCATGCCCTGCTTCAGATACTGTGCAGTTTCTGGCTAGGAACCAAACAGCCTGACTTCATTACAAGAAAATATAATCGCATGCTCTGTGCAAATCTGTCTACTGAGGGAAACCCACTCTCCACTCCTCCTCATACTTTAAGTGCTAGCTTCTCACTGAGGGAACCTAAAGACACCACTCAAGAGAAGGCACAGGGAGAGGCCCGCTGCCCTGTCATGCAGGGGACCTACACACAACTTCTACTCTCAGGTCGTGACGGGATCTCTAGGAGTTGCACAAGGAAAGGAGTGCTTTTTCCTCCTGTCAAGTGAGTGAGCTCTGGGCTCAGGGGAGGGTCCCACACCTGGGGATATACTCAGGGATCAACCCCCCAGAGCTACTGCTCCCTCAGCTAGATGATGGAGATGCCAGTATTTCCTGTGTTGATTGACAATATTATGGTTGAGTCTCCCTAATCTGAAAATATGAAATCCCAAGTGCTCCAAAATCTACAACTTTTTGGGTACCCACAAGATGCCACAACTGGAAAACTCCACATCTGACCTCTCTTGAAGAGTCTCATCAACATGCTGGCATGCTAAAACCACTGAATAAAACTGCCTTCCAGCTATGTGTGTAAGGTGTATAGGAAACGTAAATGAACTTTGTGTTTAGACTTTGGTCCCATCCTCAAGATATATTATGTATATGCAAACATTCCAAAATCTGGAAAAAATCAAAATCCAAAACACTTCTGGCCCCAAGCATTTCGGATAACAGATACTCAACTGGTGATATGGCAGGACTTTCTTGCAGGTTTAGCTAGGCCTAGTTAAAAAGGCACAAAAGAGCCTTTCTGCTGATAGAAAAGCAGCTTAGCCTTGCTGACCCACTTTGAACTCTTCTCCCCTTGGAGCTTTCAGACTGAACAGCAGTCCCTGGCCCACTGCAGCACCCTACGAGTACTCATTCCCTTCCCAACCACACAATGCTTTTCCCATAAATGTTGAACAGCTGTTAGGTGGGAGCTCTGTCCTAGGTGCTGGAAACAGGACGAGAAATGCCAAGTCTGAGCCTTCAGGGAGCTCCTAGGAGGAAACCATTTCAATGTGACGTGACAGGAAAAGTGATGGAGCTCTCTCTGTGGTGCAGGGGGATCGCCTCAGAGAGCAGGTGATGACTGCCAGCTTTGGGCAGAGAAGTCTCACGAGGGTTCTCTAAAGAAAAGCACTCAGATCTGAGTCTTGAAGGACAGATGAGTCTGCAAGAGTGAGGAGGCTAGAGGCCCAACAGCATGGGGAGGTGGGGAGAGAAGCTGTTGTGGGTTAACTGCATGCAGGTGGGAGACAGGAGGTGGGTGAAGCAAGGTGGGGTGGGCTTGAGTGCATTTCAGTCATTGCCACCAGCCCTTTACTAACCAGATGCCTCCTCCTAGGACAGCAGTGCAGCAGCCATTGGGAGCAAGGTGGCCAGGGTGCTGGGTGCTCCCCCAAACCTGGCTGGACTCTCAGTGCTTTTCGGGGGTAAAGCTTCAGCCCATCAGCCATGTTTCATATGATTTGATACAACTCCGCTAGCCCTTTAGACTCTCTCCCAGATTCAGAAAAGGAATCATCTATTTAATGAATTCAAATCATGCTTCCAGGCCGATTGGAGCGCCACGCTTTTAAAATGGCTCACAACTATTTTCAGTGTTAGGAAAATATTAAAATGAAGTTAATAATTAAGTCACACAATTTACATTTCAAATGTGTTGAACTCATGGCATACTTTTACTAACATCATAAATAGAATTTATTGGCTAATTTTCTCCTTAAGCACAACTTTTAAAATAACCTTCATTCGTGAGATATAGACTTTCCTTTTGCCAGATGATTTTCACTCAAGGATTAAACGAGAAAAACACGCAGAGGCATAAAACATAGATTGTTATTTCATTCCATTGAATTGCTGTTTCAATAGAATCTTGAGTTAATTAAATTTTATAGAAAAGGGGGATTCTTGGGCTATAAAATTAAAAATAATCCTAATAACCACATATGATTGAGAATCAGGAATAGTACCTACTTTCACAGCCCTCCTTCTCATGTTAACCCCAGTCCTTTAATTTGTAACCTAATAAACCATGTTCTATCTGAAAATATTATCCTAATTAATCATATTAAAGATCCCCAGAGAATAAAACTAATAATTTCCATGTGTAAGACACTTTACAGTTTACCATGCACTCTCCAATACATTATCATCATGTTGGACACTCCCTGAGCACTGAAAAGTGGGCTATCATTGTCTTCATTTCACAGATGAGTTGACTGAGGCTGAATTAAGAGATCTGCCTGTGATCAGTCAGCGAAAAGAGGCAGAAGCTAAGATGGACTTGACCAGCCAGCATCTTGCTTATCTCTCACTCTATCAAGCCCTAGTTAGCCTTGCTAAATGGTCAAAATCCAGCACTACAATATTCTCTAGCCAGAAGCCAGGGTTCCTATGAGGTCTGCCATGAGGCTCAGCCCCTTGAAGTCATCTAGTCATCTGAATGGCATCTCAAGGTCCCACTGGCCATGGAGTAAGGCTCTTTTATTACTGACATTTCTCTGTACTGTCTTCAAGCTCCGAGGGATGGAACTTTACATGGCAGATTTTACTCCATTATTATGCCCTGGCACATTTTCCAGGGATACTGGAAGCTGCCGGGGTCAGTGGAGAATAGCTCAGGGGGTGCACATTTGGTACAGCTACTGGACTCTGCTTAGGAAGCCTGCATCCCATATTCGAGTACCCTGTGTGAGTCCCAGCTCCACCCTCCATTGCAGGTTCCTTCTAGTGCAGAGCCTGGAAGGCAGCAGGTGATTACTCCAGTATGTGGGTCCATGCACCCACATGGGAGGCCTGGGTGGAGTCCCTGGCTCCTGGTGTCTATCTGGCCTGGAGGAAGAAAGCCAGCAAAAGGGAAATCTGTTTGGCTATATGATTCTGCCTTTAAAATAAAATGAAACTAAATTTAAAAATTAAAAAAATAAGAAGTGGCTTAGATGTTAGAGGTAGCCCTTGAATGTCTCTGTCAGACTTGTTAGCTCTGCAGCCATTCTTTGCATTGGACAAAGTGGCTTCCCAGGAAAATCGGGAAGTGCTGTCCAGAGCTCTCAAGCTGAGTCCGGGACCCCTGGATCGTCCCAAAGAGAAATTCTGAAGGCACTCCTATGCAGGCTGGGATGTCATGGGCTGATCACCAAAACCCCTTCTCACAGATAGACATGGGGATCCCTACCCTGCATCAGCTCCTGTGACAACAGCAGGGGAAACAGAGACAAGTAAGGCATTCCTAGTGTTAGGAGCCAGCTGTTTTACAGAAAGCTACACCCACCGAGACAATCAATGCAGTGTTACAGAAGACAGACACACCAGGAGTTATGAAAGGAGGGGCCATCTCAGAACTTTGCACATGCTGCACCTCCTCCCTAGAACTTATATTCCTTCCCCCATTGTCTTTCCCACCCATCCTTCAGGACACAAAGTAGAAGACTTTCTTCCAATTCAATGCATAGCCTATCTGATACTTCCATTTGTGATTTGCTGGCTTGGGGGAACACAGAATTCATCTGGGGAAAAATACTTCTGCTTGGTTCCCAGCTCTAGAGGTTCTGGATTAACTGGTTTGAGTCACGTCACTGGAACTTTGAAAGCATTCCTTGTGATTCTAAACTGCTGCCAGGGTTGACAATCTCTTGTCCACAGGTCTCCTAGCACCCTGTATTCAGGGGTGACAGCATTCACTGGCCAATGCTTCAGCCAATCTGAACAAGCACTGGCTGCAAACCAGTACATCTATGCTAGAGTATACTGGGTAAAGAGCAGCCTTGCCTATTTTTGACTCTCAGTGGTGTATTTGTCATATCCTGTTTATGAATTCCTACCATACCATGTTTTAGCAAACTCCCAAATGCTAAGGTATCCTATCTTATCCTTTGCCATCCTGTCCTATGCAATGTCACACTAGGTTATGCTATAAGCTTCCTCCTTACTGTGCCTCTAACACTACTGGAATGCAGAGGACATGGTAGGGACTTCATAAATATTTGCTGAATAATGCAGTGCCCTCTTCTCTCCAGCACACACACTCTTACACACAAGCACACGTGAGTGAGTGTACATACCCTTCCATTCTGCGCCACCCATAATCTTCCTGTGAACATTAGAACTGGCACCAATTGGGACAATTGGGACAATAGAATGGAGTGCCTGCCATCCAAACAAGTGGGTGAGGAAAACAGGCAATGTATGAGAATGACCAGAGTGACTTGCATTCAGTGAGAACCTTGAGGCCTTACCTTTGTTGCCTCAAAAATCTCATCCAAGTCCACGGGCAGGTTTCTGTTCTGGAACCACAAGGCACGAGTGATGAGCATGGGATGAATGATGGGATGATGTCATGAAACAGTTAAGCAGACAGGGCCCTCTCAGTCTTACCGGGATGGCTGCAGCAAACCGTTCTTCAAAATCCTCAAACGGATGGCTGTTCTGTGATGAATGAGGATGAAGTGAGTGACACACAAATGACATGGATTTATGAGTTTAATGACGACGCTATCTACAGTTTACACTCCCGTGGTCTCAGTGGGCGGGAGCTGCTCCCAATGTGCTGTGAAAATCCTGGAATATATTTCCAGCATAAGCAGATGACAGAATATGCTGCCGACTAGGAAATACAGGGATGGTAAATCTGCATGTTTGAAGTCCATGTTCCTTCAATGACAGATGCTACCCAGTGAATCTCAACAGCCAACGACAAGCAAAAATGTTTCAATGAGATTTTATCTTTAATAGGAAAAAAAAATATTGTCTTGGGCTTTAGCTACATTTAGCTCTATGGAGCAGCTAGCTTTGTATGTGACTTTTTTTAAAAAACAAAAGTTATTTATTTATTTGAAAAGTAGAGCTATAGAGACAGGAGAGACAAAGAGGGAGAAGTCTTCCATCTGCTGGTTCACTCTCCAAATACCTGCAACAGCCAGGGCTACGAAGCCAGGAACTCCATCTAGGTTTCCCACGCTGGGGGCAGGAGTCCAAGCACTTGGGTCATCATCAGTTATCTTCCCAGGCATATTAGCAAGGTGCTGAATCAGGAGTGGAGCAGCCAAGATTCAAACCAGTTCTTGATATGGAATGCCAGGGTCTTAACCTGCTGTGAGTGCCACAATGCCAGCCCCTTGACCTGCTGTGAGTGCCACAATGCCAGCCCCTTGTATATGCCTTTGACTATGTTTGTTCTCTCTGCCTAAAACTGTCTTCTCCACAAGCTCGAAGCTCACCAAATTCTTCAAACCAGCTGAAAAGCCATCTCTTGACCTTCAGTGCTGAAAATCCTCATGTAAAACCCTCAGTACATTATCTGTGGCTCTGACGGATGAGCTCCCACGAGTAGGGGCTGTGCAGGGTTTATTCCGGAATCCCCAGCAGCTGACAGAGGGCCCAGCACACAGCACTGCTCGAAGTGCTGTGTGAATGCATGTCTTTCTTAAAAGTAACTGGAGGATGTCCAAATTTAATTCTTCTGCTTTTTGACTGCCCTATTGCATATTACAGATAATCTAAATAATATCTAATTTATACCCATATTTTAATGACCATGTTTGGGCTTATATGTACAAGCAAATTATTCTTTGAGTTATTTCCAAGAAGTGGAGCATTAATGTGAAGCTGCTACTATTAACATTAACATGGCAATCTTAAGCATGAACAGAAGTAATTGCATCATTTCCCAATTTTTGAGGAACGCTTCGTATTGGCAGTGAACAGTAGAGAAACTGCCACCTATCACCTCCACGTGCTGCTCATTTGGCAGGAATTCCTTTGCCCTGTCTGTAAAAACCATGATTGTTACTTCCCTGGCCCACATCATAGGGTGCAGAGCAGAGCTGCAGAAGCAAAGTGCCTGTGCCCACTAAGGCAGGGCCTTGGGCAAAGCCCCAGGGAATCCTGCAATCAGCCACCTGTTTCTATCAGCCATGGGCTGACCAGGACCAGGATTCCACTGTAGCTACAAAGAGAGGAGAAGCCACCACCACGTCAAACAATCACATAAATTGTTATTATCATTATTTGGCCAGAGGTGAGGATAGGTAGGCAGACGATATTAGTCTAAGTGATCCTGTAATCTATGGTGTGGCCGGAAAGGTTAAGGTTATGTCGCTACATCCTTTATAAATCCACACACTCCTAGGGATTTATAGCAGAGCCCCTACCAACTAGCTCTGGGTCATAACTTTTAATAAAAACATTTTTTAGTGTCCAAAATCTCATTACATCTGTCCAATATAAAGAAGCAAATGGCTTCAGAGCATGATGGATGAATTAAATAAATTTGAAAAACAGCCCATGGTGGAGTCTCATAAAAACCTCACCATGTCCCACATAATGAAAATGTGGGAGGATAACCAGTGTCGGTGTGAGCCTGTCACCTTCCTGGTGACAGAAGAGGAAGCCTTGGGTGAGGCAAGGAGCGGAGGTGGGATGAGGCGAGGTTTGTAAATTCTGATGCAGCTTGGTCTGGGTGTTTGAGACATCTCTTTGCAACTGCACAGATGTGTACTGAGCCCTGCCTGTGCCACCTGCCAGCTGTGAGACCCTGGGCAAGTCAGTTAACCTCAGTGTTCCCATATCTTTCACATGGGGCTGGTAGGGAAGACATCGTCTCAGGTTTACTGAGAGGCTGAACCAAGGCATGTGTGCAGTCTTGCTTGATGTTTGGCACATAAATAGGAGCTATGATTAATATCATCTTGGTCTGTTTTTGGGGCTCATTTTAACAAGCACGTGAACACTTTTATTATTATGACATTATATTTGGAAATAGAAAGAAGAATAAAAATCTTGATGGCGACTCCTTTTTAGATACCACTTCCACCCAAAAGCACAGGCCAGATCCCTTGTAAAGTGATGCCCAACACTCCTTGGCTTTCTCAGCCTTGGCTTTGGAACCCTGTATCCATTCTTCAGTCTGTCTTTTCCTTTCGCCTTGCTCCTGGCCACTGGCTCCCCTGGATATCTTTGCTCCATCGAGATCTTCCATACCTGGTGCTGTGGGCACCTTTCTCTTCTGACCCTGGCCCCTCCATTGCTCTGACCTCTTTCCTCCTATCTGGGGCAGGGGGTAGGATCTAGTGACACCCAGTACACTTCAGGCAGCTGGTGGGAAGATCCATCTAGCCAATGCACTTTCCTCAGTTATTTCTTATGACCAGGACCCGAGACCCAGTCCCTCATCCCCCCTCATCCCCAACTCTTGCTTTACCCACAGTGGCCAGTAGCGTTTCAACTCACTGATCTCCAAGCTTTCTTATAGACATATTATTTTTCCATACTGACTCTTGGAGCATGCACATAGCTTTCTGTTCTGCTTTTTAAAAACCAAATATGACACCAAGTTTACTCCCAATGTAAGCTTCTTGAGGAAGTCTGAAAGAAGATATTCTCCGGTGTTGTTTCAACACAGGTCTAGTCTGAACCTTCACTAAGACATTGATCAAGCCCCACAGGGGGTTACCTTCCCATCATCTCTTTGTGGAAGAGTAGAGGCACTGTCTCTCCAAAACCAAGTAAAGTAATTAGTAAGACCAGATTCACGTGACTCCTGTAGCGAAGATGGTACATGTGATGGAATTTGGGGTGAAAGTGTCAAAAAGGATGAAAGGCTGCCAAATCAGAAACCTGTTTACTTCTCCCTTTTGGCTGCACAATGGAACTCTTGGGGAGAGCCTTTACAAAACTACCAATGCCTGAGCTCCACCATCAGGTATTTGGATTCTACTGGTTCAGGAGTTTCTCAGAGCTCCCCAGGTAGTGCTAATGTGCAGCCAGATTGTGAATCACTGTGCTGAAGAATGAACTCTCTGTAGGAATAATCAGTGTAAACCCCACTGGGAAAACTGAAAGGCTCTTGATTGATTATGTCATTGATTAGCTAATTTCTTCACCACACATTCACTGGGTGCTTTCCACATGCCACATCCTGGCTTGGCACTGGAGATACAAAGATGACTAATACAAATTTATTGTTGTGCTAAGACAGGGTAGAGACATGGTGAGTAGTCACTGTAGCTGAGGGGTGGATAGAAATGGTCAGACAGGACACAAGACTTTGAGATCTAAACTCAGAATCCAGAACTTGGATCAAGGTTGCAAAAGAATGAATCCAATGATCCATTAGTAGGCTTATTGAGAAATGGATTAACTTAAGTGATTTGTTGCTACACCAAGTTGGCTATTATTAAGTAAAATAACACCCAGTAAAATACCAGGTATTTGAATGCACATTGCATTTCCCTAGTGAATGACTTCATGAGGAAGACACCTGCTCACGAAGAGTCATTCCCTCTAGGGTATCTAGGGTTTTGTGTCCTTTACCACCATTAGCCACTTTCCTACTTCTTGGCAGAGAGACAAGAAAAACTCTGGCATTTGAAGAGCAAGCACAGGGTGAACTGAGATGGGAAAGAGGAACTGATATTAATAGATTTTTTCTCTCTAGAACAGCACTGTCCAAAACACTCTGTGATGAGGAAAATTCTGCATCTGCACTGTCCAATAGAAGAGTAGCTACTGAGCATTTCACATACAGCTGGTGTGACTGATGAGCTGAAATTTACATTTTATTTGGTCTTAATTAATGCCAATTTAAGTAGTCATGCATACCTAGGGGCTACTGTACTAGAATAGCATAATTCTAGGTAAAATACATTGAAAATTATTTAAAAAAAACAACTTTCAGTAGACTGTGTGCTTCCTGAACACTAGACATACATATTCCATCCTTATATATCCTCTCCCTTTCTTTTAAAAAATAACTTAAATTTGCATTGCTTGCAAATTACCTACGGGTGAATTAAATTCTTTACTGTCTAGACAGTGTCATGAAATCAAATTCAGTTTGTAAAATAGCAGCCACCTTCTGGATGGAAAATGTGTTTTCATTTCCTGAGAAAAGCAAGAGCCAGATATTTGCGGGGCTTTTTAAAGAAAGTCAAGAATCATGCTTCCAGTGGAAACCCATGAAACCTCATCAGCACTCTGATGCAACGGAATCCCAGTTAGTGCCAAAGTGTGCCAGCTCTCCTGCGATGTGGGGCTCAATGGTCTTGCTGGACACACTGCCTTGATTTAATGGAGGAACTGGTGCTTCTTCAAGTATTTGTCTTTGCAATGACCGAAAAGTTCCCTCTAATGATTGAGAGTTGGGCCTCATTTTAACAGCTAATGGCCCTCCTGACCCCAGCTACCATTTCAGGAGGATCCCAAAGGTTGTCAATTGGATTGGAGGGTGGAGGAGAATGCTGAACTCTTACAGTGAAAGTTACATCTGCCCTTGAAGTGCTCACAAGAGTAATATATCTACAAATCCTTGGGCAATGAAATATTTACATCTGGCTTCTGAAAAATTAAGCTGATCCTTGAAATGGCCTTTCTTAATAGGCAAAAGGGGAAATCTGAGTAGGGGCTGTGGTGACAGGAACTAGCTGGTG